GCAGCTTTTCACTGCAACTCCGTACTTAGAGTAGTACATAGAGGACTGATCGACTGAAGAGTTCGCACACAACTGATTGAACGGTTATCCCAAAAAAACCTGCAAACACAGCAACTCTTTCTGGATGAGATTGCCCACCCCTGTAGTAGTATATGCAGTTAGTGTGTATTGCTTGGTAAAGGATGTTGTGTACCCAGTGGTCATCAGTGTTGCCAGATCTGAGCGACAGTTTCCAGCCCAAACTCAATGTAAAACCCACCCACGTCAATAAAAACCAGCCCAAATCTCCACCTAGCAAAAAACTTACGTTGAACATAAAAGTATAGACGTAGCTTGATAAAGAGCATGACATTATAAACAGTTTTATAAAATAAACACAGAAAAATGCACAAACAAGCTTCCTTGTCAGCAAAAAATTAGAACTACTGTATTTAGTCAGTCACATGCAGTTTTTACAGAATGGATCTTACCTTTTCGAAGTTTATTACTCTTTTCTTGAACTGAAGAATGTTGAACACTAATAACTATGTACAGTCCATGAAAGCCAAATATGAGGCTAATACATGGAGGAATCAAATCCCCCCAACAATTGCTGGGGAGGTTTGAAACTGGATGATGTCCACCCGTTCCTGCTCAGGCCAGAGCGCACATCCATGAGGCTTGAGAGGAGCGGCAGACCCATTCGATTTCTCGTGTCATCCTTTAGCAGCGTCACTTGGGAAAATGCCCTCTCAACGTGAGCGTTACAGATGGGCAGTGTCACACGATGACCAGGGAAGCAGAGGTGAGGAGACGTAGGATAAGGGGAATACGGGGTTTAATGAGCGACAAAACACGAAGGAGACAATAACCGGAAACAGCTGATAAACACGGGGAATCCACATGGGGTTAACGAGGGGGCGTGGCACACGAGAGGAGCGGACGATTGGGGCAAGACAGGACCCCCCCCAAAAAGGCGTGCACTCTGGGCGCGCCTAAGGGGAGCAGAGCGACGGGGACCGGGGACACGACGGTACCTGGGAAGACAAAAAGAACAACAACCTCAACGGGGCACAGGGAACAGTATGGATACACAGAATTGGCACAAGGTGGACAACTCAAACAATAAGCCACAAACCATGGGGAACGCAGACAAACACAAAGACACCAACGACGGAAACATGGGACCCGCGGACACTAAAGGGGACAATGGAGGGACCACACCAAGGGGCACACAGGGACGAACAGGGGGCGTGGGCACAAATGGATGGGAAGGACACACAGGAGGCACAAAGGAACCAAAAGGGGACAAAGACACAGAAGGACGAGGAGAAAACGTGGGGGCCACAAAGGGACTAGAGGACACCGAGGGATGAGGGGGTACCACAGGGGGCACAAAGGAACCAAAGGGGAGTAAAGGCTCGGAAGGACACGGAAGAGACACAGGAGGCACAAAGGGACCAACCAAAGACGAAGGTACTGAGGGCCGAAGGGGACACATGGAGGGCCTGAAGGGACCAGAGGGGAGCAATGGCATGGAGGGACGAGGAGCAAACAAGGAGGGCACAAAGGAACTAGAAGGGAACGACGGTGGCATAGAACGGGGAGCGAACACAGGGGCCAAGGGCAAGGGGCAACGTGGAGCAGAGGGGACCTTCGGGGGATGAGAAGTAGGGCACGCTGGGGAAGCAGGTCTCTGCAGGGCCGGAACAGGGGCTGAGGGTGACGAGGATGCAGGTAAAGAGGCTGGTAGAGGTGGCAAGGAAGGAGCCGTGGGGAGAGCCGCGGGCAAGGGACCCGCAGGTCGTCGAGGGGACGGCGGCGGTCGGGCTGTGGCCGGCTGCCCAGGAGCCCTGGGTGAGACCGGGGCCAACTGCCGAGATGGGACCTGGGGGTGTGAAGGGGCCCCAGGGAGTCTACCCAGCCGTCGGTGTCCCCTCCCTTTCTGGGAGACCGAGAGGTGGGAACCCGGCCATGAACCACCTTGATGAGGTGCCGTTGGTTGGGGTGACCACCTGGGGGGTCCACAGGCACAGTGAGGGTGATCCCCGAGGCGTCCCACTCCAGCTCCTCTTCCGACTCCATTGTGGAGGAAGGAGCGGGGGTCAGGTCATCAGGGACCACCTCGGTCCCGAGGCCGAGGGAGCAGGGACCGGGGAGACTGAGGCCGAGGGAGCAGGGACCGGGGAGACTGAGGCCGAGGGAGCAGGGACCGGGGAGACAGAGGCCGAGAGAACAGGGACCGGGGAGACAGAGGCCGAGGGAACAGGGACCAGGGAGACAGAGGCCGAGAGAACAGGGACCGGGGAGACAGAGGCCGAGGGAACAGGGACCAGGGAGACAGAGGCCGAGGGAACAGGGACCGGGGAAACCGAGGCCGCATGGGGCGGCGCGTCGGCCACGCTAATTTCCACCTATGGTCACGAGTTCTTGTATTTGAACTAATGCTGAAGTAACTATTCAGTTGAACAGCATCCAAACCTGTTAGAATCTTATAGACCTGGATCATGTCCCCCCTCAGTCTCCTTTGCTTGAGGCTGAACAGATTTAGCTCAACTAACCTTTCCTCATATAACATTCCTCTAAAACCAGGAATCATTCTTGTGGCCCTATGCTGCACCTTTTCTAAGGCCGCAATG